AATTTATAATTACTATAATTACTAATTTATAATTACTAATTTATAATTACTAAGTTGACACAGTACCACATTAAATAAAGTAAATATAATTTAATTGAACACAAAAAACACAAAAAAATTATGAATTATAATGTGAATTATATGTAAATATAATGACTTATTTATATATGTTTCAAATAGCATTCTTACCGTAATTACAATTTACATTAATTAATTTTTTATAAATTAAAAATTTAATTAATAAATAAAATATAGAAAAATAATTTAAGTAAAAAGAGAGAAAATTAATGATTTGAATATATATGTTTAATTTTCTGATATATCCAAAAAAGAAAAATTTATTTTCAATTTTCATTATTTTCATTAATTTTTTAAATTTTTATGTTTATTTTATGCTTTCATTTTTCGAAAATGTTATATTACATTATATTCATTAAATGTAATATATTGAGTACATTATTTTTTTTAAATAAATTGAATATACCTATGTGTGATTATTTTGAAATGAAATTGACTTTCTGAATACTACAATGTCGTTTATCGTCCTGATGATTGAAAGTCAATTCAAATCGAGATCTCTGTCAATCAAAAGCCCAAGTGCTTGGCAATCGATTTCATATGCATTTGTGATGACACATTTGCTTTTATCGATCGCCAATGCTAGTCATTGCGACGCCGTCTACGAAGCGCTCTATAAATCCGTAGACACAATTTCTTCCATTTCTTTTATAACTATTCGCGAAAACAAATACTTGATTTTATTATTATTTTACATTATGCATTTGTTGAAAGATAGAAAATGAAAAGATAATATAATCTTTTTTCGTTTATATCAATAACGTACAATGTTAAATAAAAATAAAAAGAATATTATATAATTAACTAAATATAAAATAATTTATTAAAATAATTTATTAGAAAAAAATTGCTTTTCTACGCTTTTATAGTAAGATTAAGTAAACTAAAAATAAATTTTAACATTATAAATACAAACTCATGATGCTAATATAAATCGTTTTAATGTATTAGATTTAATGATTCAAAAAATTAAATGATTGTAACATTTGTTTCAAGTGCTATTATGTAAATATATAAGTGTTATATGCAAATGTGTGTAATCTTTAGATAAGAAATTTAATACCAATATTCGATTATGCGTGTTTCAGTATATAGAGAAGTAAAAAGCGCATTTTCTACGCTTTCGATAAATAAATGTAATATCTTATTGAGTAAATGTGCTGATCAAAATAAAAGAATTTCGAGTAATAGAGGCTTTTCTTCAAGAAATTCAAATATATATAGGAAATAACTCTTATAAGATCGCAGATAATACTTTTAGTAACATTCTTTTCGAGAAATCTTTTAAAGTAACATACGTAATACGCATGAACGTAAAAGGTCAAGTAAAATTCCTGACATTTTATCGTTCTACCGAAATTGGGTTGGCGCCATAAATTCTCCGGGATATCGAAGTAGGTCTTTCGAGTATTAGCGAATCCACGATCCACTAATTGGACGTCGATGTAACTCCTCGGGCGATTAGAATGATTGCCCGCTATTATATGTTTCAGAATAACATGAGGATGTTGTTTATCCCTAAACTAATCCTAAATGCATTTAGCTCGTACGCTTATTAAAGCTGATGAAGCTACTAATGGATTACTAGGAGATTCACATTAGAGAATATCAGTTGCCTTTCTGGACCATTACATGATATTACATATTATCTGTATTCTTTAGGTTATTAATATATTACTACAGTTAAAAATATAAATTGTAAAATATATACAATGAAATTTTTTTATTTAATAATAATCAATTTAAAAGAAACAGCAAATTTTTAATTTTCAAACGAATTTTTTAAAGTTAACTTAAACAATTATCATTTTATTTAGCACGCATAAGCAAATAACATTTAAAAAGAAAAAACATAAAAATATGAGATATATAAATTACAAAATTAAGCTTTTGTTTAAATTCGATATTTAAACATGTCATAGTGATATACTGATCAATTATTATCCATTAACTATAATTAATTGTAAGTTATTACAATATCTATTAAGATATTTAAACATGCAAAACTTAATATATAACTTGATGAACATTAATATTATCAATTCTCCATTTTGAAGTCTTATTGTGACATTATCACTGTTAATTTCAAAATAAATTATAAGTGTAATAAAATTACTTGAATCTTGAACCAAGAATTAATTTTAATTCGACTTGCTCGACTTGCCAATCGAGCAAAAATTTCTTCTAATTTTTCGAACCATTGAATCAGAAATAATTAACTCGAATCCAGCAAACTTGATCGCAATAATATGTATCTACGCACAGTTAAAGCACGTAACGCATTTATAAATTCTCTTATAAAAACATTTTTCAAGCATTTTTGTTCAACCTCATTGATTGATTGGGCGTGGCGTGTAGATCGATACTATAAAAAAAATCGCTTTACATCTAAATTAAACGATTTTGCATATTGCACGAGAAAATTTACATTACATTATATAAAAAAATTGCATTTTATTTTATTTTTAATAATATACAGTGAACATGATACAAATTGCAACAAACGTTTATAGATAAATGATAGATAAATAAAAATGATAGATAATTTATAGATAAATATAGAAAAATTGGCTTTTTTATATGTTTATATGATATAATCTATTTGGTTACGTTTTAATTTTTAGTGATATATATAAATTTTATTCTTTTATTAAGTTTTATTAAATTAAAACTATCCTTAAAAA